GGGTGGCCAGCACCACGCCCGACCGCATTTGTCTCCCCAGTGGCGATGTTTACACACCACACCAGGTACTAATTTCAGGCTGAATAGACCTAGGGGAGGCCCAGGACCGGTTCAGATAATCGTCACTGGGTGTTGGCCGTGAGCGGGAATCGAACCCGGGTCGCCGGGTTCATAGCGCAGCGTAGCGCTTACCGCTACACTACCGCTCCTCCTGTGTGTCTCTCTGTGTAAGTCCCTCTCTGTTTGTCTCTGTGAATCTCTTTCTGCTTGTGTGTCTGTCTGTGTGTCTATGTTTTGTCTCTTTCTCAAATTTAGCAATCTTTGGAAGAACGTAATCAACCAGGTGGGGTGTTGACTGTTGTATTGGCCGACTCTCTGTGTTGTATTGCATTATATTTCTAAGGTTACAAGGTTTGTTTTCTCATTCATTTGTACCTGATGATGGCAGCTTGTTTTGCAATCGAAACGTCGTATTCTATTAATATTTAATTTCTTTCTACGTGACTTTACCGAAAGAACCAAAGACTAACACAGTATATTTTCCCTTTATTTAGAAATAGGTGCAGGTATTCCGTGACGTGACTATAGTGGTCTGTCCACTGCGGCCAAGAATGAATGATTGGGTGGGCGCCCGTCATCACTTCGCCACCACCACCGTTGCCGAAAATCTCAGGCAAAGAGCGCCAGCCCAATAAGCCTCTGCCCTCTTCCTTTCACTCGCAAAAACACAGGTCTCCCCCGCCACAGACATTCACCTCCTCGTTCTCCATCACACTTCCAACACTCTCCCCAAACAAGCCTGCAGGAACAACTGCTCTCCTTATCCTCCCTGCAATACGACTCCCCCCCCCCCCCCCCAAGTCCGTGACGCCCTCTCACACTCACAACATTCGCCACAGCACCGAAACGTACTGACCTTACAAATGTGATTCGCCTTCACATCGCGCTAGGCTTGTATGGGAGAGAGCAGTTATGATTCAAGTGCTTGGAATGGAAAGTACCACTTGCAATCTGACAAATGAAGTGTTTTTTTGCCATTATTTTAAAGCGCAGCGGAAACAATGCGGAATTAAAGAACGATAAAAGTAATATTATACGGTATAGAAAGGTAAACTGCATCGTGTCTATTTTGTAACACATTTCAATGTGCACTAACCATATACGATTATTAGATTTTAATTGAAACTCTTCAGTTCAGTTTCTTAAGTGTAGTGGAAAATCCAAATCCAATTGTTCATATAATATAACTCATCATGTCTACGCTGTCAAACAATTTAATTTACCATCAATGAAGAAAATGTATAGGGGTCGTCCATAAATGACGTCACAAAGCTCTGCCCCCCCCCCAAAATAAAACATGCTTCAAATCGCTTTAAACTATTGTCATTGTAGTGCGTATTTAATGTGGCGCTGCACTCTGTTGTAGGAGAAAACATTATTAAAGTCTATTTAATTAAGTATAACGTGGTGTCCATATTTATTTTAAGTTGCGCATCTTTATGTAACGTCACATTTCTCAACCCCCCCCCCCCTCGTCACAAATGTCTGACCCCCCCCCCCTCGCCCAGGTGTGTGACGTCATTTATGGACGGCCCCATAAATTATACAAAGGGCACCGTCGCGATTGATGTCGAGGGCAGAGAGTCTTCCAGTTTATCGAGTCGGATGTTACTTGGGCCAACTTTGATGCAGACACGAGCAACGTACGTCAGCAGCATTTAATCAGAGGGCATTAACCAGCTGCATTCATCAGCAAGCGTCCATTACTGCCTGGACTGCTGCCCGCTTTGCCAGTGCAGTGCCACGTGCTGAGGGATGTTAAGTTCTTTACGTTAAAAATAAACCAAAAATAATGTTGTACCAATGACAAACGCTGTGTGACTATGATCCAGCAACAACAACAACAAAAAATACCCAACTTGAGAACATCGCCACTTTAATTGCTCGCACCGTATATTTTTAAAAGTGCAACATAATCCATGTCGCTGTAGGAATTCCTTTCCTTATCCAGCAGAGGGCAGGAAAACACTTAAGCGTCCAATCCGGATAATCATTAGTACTGTATACGTTTACGTAATTCCAGCTGGCAAGACTTGTAGCTGTGCTACATTCAGGGGATAACTATATATTCCTTAACTTGGCAGAAAGCGAAAACAAGTGATATTCTGTAAATAATGTATTTTCTTTAAAATATATATTATGCATATGGTAGTAATGCAGTTTACTAACAATGACAATCTTATTCTTTAGTTATTTCGGTAAAGTCACGTAGAAAGAAAATTTATAATAAAAAAGAAAGTGAATCAAAATAATAAAAACTAATGTAGACTGTAGTCTGGTTCTTAATCAGATTGAGTGTACTGGCAGCCTTTAATGTTGACTGTAGCCTGTTTTTAAGCTGATGAGCATACTGACAGTCTATAATGTAGACTTATTCTTGGTAAAGTCACGTAGATAGGTTCAAAGAAAAAAAACTACGACGTTTCGACCGCAACAAAAGCGGTCGACATCAGGAAAAGGGGGGTTAGCTTCTAAAGACAACTGCTTATAAAAGTTTGAAATGGGCATAGCCCAAATGTCAGCAGCCAATGACAATGCAAGTGGTGGGCTTTCCACCAATCAAAGGGCTGCCAGGCAAAAAAATTAGCATGTCAATGCAAGATCGCCGACATTCCCCACAGCGAGTGCGCCAACGCGGCGATGTTAATGTAAGAGATTAGCATGTTAATGGGAGATCGTGAAGCAGCAGCCTCGAGGATGGTGTGCGAGGTAGCTGTGTTAGTGAGAAATTTAATCTGTTAATGTAAAAAATCAGAGAGCCGAAAATAACAACATCGGAAAGTGGTAGGATGGGAACATCACAGCCAGTTATGACTTAAACTGGTTAATAACGTCCTTCCAATGATTGCTCAGTTTGTACCCATCTTCTCAGTTTAAATTGTGCCTGTGTCTATATATATGGATGGCTTCATGAACGAATCTTTGTTGATAGCCAGTGGGTTTGCAAAGCACCTTCGTCTTAGAGAAATCTATTTCGTGTGAGCCCACCGCATTAAAACAATTATAAGCCACAGCCGAGGTATTGGTCCTATCGTGTTTCAGATCTGCCTTATGTTCACGAACATGGTCCTGCAGTCACGAAAGTTTTAAGTGAAAAATGGTCAATCTTCATCATTTACCATAACAAGTGACCAAAATTGGCATTGGTAAAAAAATGCAAAAGGCAAGCAACAGAAGAAATCTTGACAAATGAGACAGAAAACCAAAACAGAGCACTGTGTGTAGACATCATGCAGACCCACAGGAACATCCACCAGAGAGTGGATATCAACATCCGTCCGAGGTCTCAGTGCAGTGGACAATCTCATCCCAGACTCCGACTTGCAACAAAAACATCCCCAAACAGCCAGAGTCCTGCACCCCAGAGTCTAGCATCTCTACTCCTCTACAATCCGCCGCCGCCACAGGTGAGTGCTCTGCGTACCCCATGAAGCCTAGCACCAATCAGGTCTCCACTCACACTCATCAGGCATCTACCTATCCCCAAAAAGGACTCAACTCACAACAAAAACTCAACACATGCCTCTGCTCCTGCCCACCTACCACTCTGTAAATCTAATTCCACTCTTCAACCTACAATATCAATCCCTGTTCATCATCTGGCTAGCCACCCACCCTTCCTCGATAACACACACAAACAACAATAACCGCTTACATTCTAAACCAAATTCTGGTGCACTCTGAGATGATGTTAATAACACCCATTGGCAACAGGTCACGGGACAGATGGAAATGGTGTTATGTAAATTTCCCCCCACACCAACCCACTACACCATCGCAGCACAATATCATACCACACCAGCACACGATACAATGATGGCATACCAGTGGTCTTCATTGGAAGGCCCGTGGGCCACTGAAGTGGCCCCCCACAATATAGAACTATGAAACACCCCATCACTGCTGTCAAACCCCAATGGTTTCCAGGGTGTGGCAGCCCTCACACGGATGTCTTATCCGCGAAAGTGGTCCCCCTCTGAAAATTAGTGAAGAATACTGGCAAACCATCACACCACAGCCTTGACACCACACCAAACCATACTACACCAAATGGACACATCACACCACATTTACACCAAAGTCAATGCAAAACCAAACGTGTTTTTTTAATATACAGTATATATCTTGAGTTGAAGCTTTGTGTGGAATTGGTGACCGGTCTGAGACTCTCTACACAGGCAGCTGCCTGGATTCAAATCCAGGATCCGCGGTGACTGTTGCGGTGTTATACGGATTGATGGACTTACATGACTGGCAGATGTTACTAAAAGTGCTCCTAAATGTACCAACTTGCTGTGGTTTAGCTGTCCGGCGCTCTGGCAATCTCCGTTCAACCAAAAGGAAAGCTGCTCCGGAAAACAACTGCTCAATAAAGAACTCACGATGAACTCGGGCTCGTGTCGTTGTCAATCAAATCTTTATTTGTTGTTTTGTGCCAATATCGCCCTCAATAAAGTAGGCATCAGCTGTGTTAGTTCGACCGTGGTGTGACAGATATAGTAATCGAGCAAGACCAAACGGCACCAATTGAGAAACCTCAATGTGTACATGTAATCACAGTGTAATGTAACTATAATTATATCCAGGAGAGCCTGAGTTTCAAGTATTTTATCAGGTGGATCCAACTACTTTAGGATGCTTCCTCATTTCCATTGATCAACAGAGTTGAATCACGGACGACTGAAACACGGATATGTTTCTTTCCTCAGAACTATTTTATCTCCCCGAGTCGCTAACTCATCTGCTGCTTTGTTTTAATGTCAATACAGTACAAGTTAAACATTTTAAACATCCAATCGACTTTGCGTTGCGGCCTACGAGCCCCTGCCGAGAAAACCGCAGGCTGGGCGGCAGGGAAACTAGTCGAGGAAGCGTCACGCAACTCCCCTCCGCCATCCCGCAACGTCCAGCGAATCTCTTCTCACGGCCTCCCAACTCACCCGTGCCAAAATCCGCGACCTTAGCGCCGCTCTCTGCGTCCGCCCTTTTAACGAACTCAAACATGAGGCGTTCCCTGTCTTCTTGAGACGCCGCCGCCTCTAAATCCTGCTCGAGCTGCGACTGAGCGCCGAGCACAGAGCCGATGGTCACGGCGGACTCCATTGCGCCTCGCCCTAAACGCGAGGGGAGGGACCGCGGCGAACGCGGAATGAAAAACGAAGGAAAAAACCGTGCAGGGGGGGGGGGGACAGTGGACATTTTACAGAATGAAAAACGAAGGAAAAACGTGCAGGGGGGGGGGACAGTAGAAATTTTACGAAATGAAAAACGAAGGAAAAAAACGTGCAGGGGGGGGGACAGTGGAAATTTTACGGAATGAAAAACGAAGGAAAAAACGTGCAGGGGGGGTACAGTGGAAATTTTACGGAATGAAAAACGAAGGAAAAAACGTGCAGGGGGGGCAGTAGAAATTTTATGGAATGAAAAACGAAGGAAAAAACGTGCAGGGGGGGGACAGTGGAAATTTTACGGAATGAAAAACGAAGGAAAAAACGTGCAGGGGGGGGGTACAGTGGAAATTTTACGGAATGAAAAACGAAGGAAAAAACGTGCAGGGGGGGACAGTAGAAATTTTACGGAATGAAAAACGAAGGAAAAAACGTGCAGGGGGGGGGGGGGTACCGTGGAAATTTTACGGAATGAAAAACGAAGAAAACGTGCAGGGGGGGACAGTGGAAATTTTGCGGGATGAGAAACGAAGGAGAAAAACGTGCAGGGGGGGACAGTGAAATTTTACGGAATGAAAAACGAAGGAAAAAACGTGCAGGGGGGGGGGACAGTGGAAATTTTCGGAATGAAAAACAAAGGAAAAAAACGTGCAGGGGGGGACAGTGGAATTTTACGGAATGAAAAACGAAGGAAAAAAACGTGCAGGGTGGGACAGTGGAAATTTTACGGAATGAAAAACGAAGGAAAAAACGTGCAAGGGGGGGACAGTGGAATTTTACGGAATGAAAAACGAAGGGAAAAACGTGCAGGGGGGGACAGTGGAAATTTGCGGAATGAAAAACGAAGGAAAAAAACGTGCAGGGGGACAGTGGAATTTTACGGAATGAAAAACGAAGAAAAAAACCGTGCACGCGGTGCAATGGAAATTTGCGGAATGAAAAATCGAAAGAAAAAAACGTGCAGGGGGGACAGTGGAAATTTGCAGAATGATAAAAACGAAGGAAAACACCGTGCACGAGGTGACGTGGAAATTTGCGGAATGACAAACGAAGGAAAACAAATCGTGCTCACGCAAATATGTGACTTTGTTACACGCTCTTAACAGCTGGGGGCGATTTGTCGATTAATAGTTAAACTTTTAGATTAGGCACTCCTTGACATACGCGATAGATGCGTTATAGATGCGTTCCTGGAATAGCACTGCTATTCAGTGGCCTAAAATAAAATGTTTCTCTCCGGATGACCGCTGCAAAGTATTATCTGTATTTTGATTTAGTGTGCTGATCTTAAAGGTGCATTGAAAAATGTGATACTCCAACTGATGCTCCTGTTGTTTGTGGAGTGACTCATGCAGCCAGCTATGGCTCTAGGGTTTGGTGTTACATGTTATTTATGTACTTTATTGTTAAAAATTCGGTCACAGTTCCTATGATCACTGTTACATTGCATTTATGGCTTTATTTTGGTGATTTCTAAAAGTTTTTTTAGTTTGGCCATGTTTTTGTTTATTGTAGTGCGGAGTTAGACTGATGGCCTTAATCTAAGTTTTCTTGTTGTGGTTGTTGTTTGACTTGCATCCCACTGGGATTTTTGCACACAGCGTTGGTGTACGGTGCTATTTCAGGAATATTTTGATGTTTTTTTCCTGGATTTTCTGTTTGCACAGTCACATAGTCACTTTAAGATGTTTTCTTGTTCATGTTTTTGTTTTTTTGTTTGTTGCGGTTGCACCCGATTCAAGAGCCGAATGGCTCACAGGGCTATACCAAATAAATGAAACTATGAACTAAAATATGAGCGCACGTATCTCAAAATCGCAATTTTCCCGTAAGGAATAATGGCAAAAGAGGGGGGTTAAGGGATTTAACTCACACTCGCAGACATAATAACCTATATTATCCTAACCTATATCAATACAATACATGTACACACAATATGATACTTTAAATGTTTTTTAAATCATATAAACTCTAATGTACTCCCTCTAAAACTACAATAAAAGTAAATAAATACAGTAAGAAATACAAAAGCGGTGAACACAATGCAAGTAAACTTGACAGCGTAGATCCACACAACCGAGAGACGCGAGACAAATGGAAGAGTGCCTGTGGACATGCGACGAGCTGCTGTCCAGTAGAGTACCGCAATTGGTTGCTGGCAACGCTCTTGGGTCACGGTGCCAGGCTTAGGGGTGGCGTACGTCGCTTTGCGGGTGACATTCAGAAAATTGCCTCGCGTATGTCAATAAAAGGTCAACATACAAAGCGCGCAGTAATTCCAAAATAGCGTACCAAAAAAGTGCGTAAACCAAGGATTGCCTGTATAAGAGGCCGTCCATAAATGACGTCACGCACCTGCGGAGGAGGGGGGGGGGGGTCAGACATTTGTGACGATGTGTGACGAGGGCGGGGGGGGTTGAGAAATGTGACGTCACACCAAAATGCGCAACTTTAAGTAAATATAGAATTGTTATAACAACACCACTAATTGGTATAGCAACACTCCTGCAACATCAGAGTGCAGCACCACATTAAATACGCACTACAATGACAATAGTTTAAAGCGATTTGAAGCATGTTATATTTTGGGGGGGGGGGCAGAGCTTTGTGACGTCATATATGAGGGGGGTCTGACTTTTTGTGACGCCGTGTGACGAGGGGAGGGGGTCAAAAATCGTCCAAAATCACGTGACGTTATTTATGGACGACCCCGAAGGCCAGATGCGACCCAAAGAAAGCAACGTCTGTTATCTTCCGGATGTTATTATTTTATTGGACTGTTTGACGCAAATTTTAAGCTTCGTTCGTTTAAAAAAAAAGCTTTGTTTCGGCTATAGTCAGAATGTGATGGCACTAACAAATGTATATTTGAAGCTTCGTTAACTATTAGGATTATAGCCACTGAACTAATGTCTTTAGAGTGCTATGCCATAGTTGCCCCACAGTGATAAAGTATTCAGCAATTACCAGACAACCCATTGAGACATAGCAAAGACACTGGCGGTATATTCAAGACCAAGCTGGTGTTTGCGTTGCACATTCCCTATCAGTGAATGTGTCATCATCAGCCACTGTCTATCCACTACTGGATGAAGGCCTTCCTACGCCGTCGCCATTCCTCATGGTGCAGTGCTGCTGCTGCTACCATCCATCTCACTCCAGCACAAGATTTGATGCCATGGCTCCATCTTCGCGGTGGTCGTGCTCCTGAACGAGCGGTCCTTTGCCTGCCATTCAATCGGCAGCCTCATCCATTGGCCATCATCATATGCCGAGCAATGTGTTCTGACCAAGCCCACTTACTTTTCATAATTGTCAAGGTGGTTTTTTAAATTGTGTACGTTCAGTAACCCATGTCACTCTTTGCTCATTTGTGCGCTGTTCATCTTTATTACACTTTTTTGGCAAAAATATAACTGTGCCAGAATAATGTGTTCCTTTTTAGTTGGCATATTCCTTTCAGCGAAAGTATACAATTAATACAATGTCGACTCAAAATCACGGTTTTTTTTGTTGGGTGAGCAAAAGTAATATATTGATGTTACGGCTGAAAAACTTTCTGTAATAAAATATGCCATCATCAATTTGCTTTGAATAATATTCACAGAATAATTTTTATCAGTTTTCACGTGTCTATGTCTCATTAATGCGTTTTCCATATGTTTGCAAAGTATCCAAAGGTGAAAGTGATCAGCCAAGAGTGTGTGCTCTCTCTCACCTTGTCCAAGACGTTAGTTCAGCGTGGGACACAGCATAAGGCAAACTGCCTTCTAGAAAGGCTCTCTGGAGGTACCTGCAGTGGAGGCCTTTCCGCCAGCATAAATGCGTGTTATCTACCAATTTGTAATTTCATTCTAGATTTAAAGCTTTCTTGACTGCAAGGATCCATACTCTTTGGATCTATTCGGTAAAGTCACGTAGGTAAAAAATAAAACAACAAAAATCACGACGTTTCGGCCACAACACAAGCGGCCTTCATCAGGTAAAGGAAGCAGACTGTCTCGAGGACAGCGCTAGAGTGAAACACCGTTCATCATGCTAAGTCGGCCAATCAAATGCTAATTTTTTATGCTAATTCCTTTGTCAAGGCACCTTGTTTCTTCGCACACAGCTTAAAGGTCGCGGTCTGAGCGTGGCTGTGTTTCACTCCAGCGCTGTCCTCGAGACAGTCTGCTCCCTTCACCTGATGAAGGCCGCTTGTGTTGTGGCCGAAACGTCGTGATTTTTGTTGTTTTATTTTTTACCTACGTGACTTTACCGAATAGAACCAAAGAGTATGGTAATTTCATATTACGAGAGGCAATACCACTTCAAGAGGGGCTCCTTTTCGTCTAACACGCACATTTTCTCTGAGACTGGATCATGAACCATGATAACGCAGCATGACGTGACATCCTCTTTCCACTGGGCGGGAATTCTTAAATTGGGGGGGGGGGGGGGCAGATCTGCAATCCAGTTACCAAGCATTGTGATGCACGGTAGCCGCACACATAACCAGCCATCACTGCTAAACGTCCGATTGATATAGCACATCAGCAATGAACGACGACAGTGATTCCAGCGAAGGAGACATATGGCATTACAAGCCTCTCGTGAGGATAAGAAAAAGGCGCATTGGTGAGACCCACTGTCGTGAAGATCGGAAGAAGCGCATATTCAACTTTGCCACCACCACCACTTTAAGCCAGCCAAGAGTTTCACACAGCCGAGTGTTTAATTTCCCACCGAGCTGCACCGCACCTCCAGGATTTCTCGAGGATGGCTTCGCGAAAGACCTCAAGGGAAACTCAAACGCGCTTCAAATGCAAAGTGCCCGTGATATGATTAATACCCGCGCTGCACAAATTCAAAGTTCCGCGCCAAGCTCCCACTCAGGTAAGTGTTCATTTATCACAAGCACTTCATAACGAATTAGCATACAAGATGTGTTTTTAATAGTATCTTCATATATTTTAGCACCATATATACAGTATGGGCCATGTATTGGATATTAACCTTTTTATTTGTTCGTTTAGTTTGTTGTCCTTCCCCTGCACCTTCCAAAAGCACGGTTGGCTATGTAATGTGCGAAATAAGTTAAACACACATACATGATGGTAATAACACAGTAGCAGTAGTCGCTAAGTCATCAATAGGCAGTTTAGAATGTTCCTCCTGGTGTAAATAAGAACACAGATTTAACAATAATCATATAATGTATTGTTTCACCAACCCGCACAAATCAACACGGTCAAATGTGGTCAAACAACCCCCAAGGCTGACATGAAGTGAAGAGGTAGTCATCTTCCAGTGAAATGGCAGCGGTGAACATGAATAGCAGTAACATGAATAGCAGACTATCCTCTGACGTTTGTTGTCAGCCAGCACTCTTAAAGTGTTTACTTTTGATCAGACTGCGGTAATCGCTGTGCCTCTACCTTCCCGCCAAGATGTTATCAACAGAAATAATAATCGGCAAACATTTCCCCTCGCAGCCAGGCAAAGCATTGATCCTACTTCCTCAAAGTGATAGCGTGTTCCTCATTAACAAAAAAAGCTGAACAAAACACAAATACTGTCATACATTGTGATGACGCCAGCACAAACGAGCGAATATGTGGAAGCTGCAAGCACTTAATGACGGTTGCGAGTGGAGAGAGTGAACGAAAGAATGAAAGTAAAATTACGAAGAAAGATGGCCCATTTTTTTATTCTCTTGATAAAATCTTTGTATCGCTCTGTCATTGCATCATTCACAGCGACATCTTTATTAGTTGTAATTGTAATACAAATTTGAAAAAAAATGCAGTGACAGTGCGTCTTAAAATGCTGCACTATCACTAATAAAGATTAAATATCTTTCTCCATGTGTTTAACATATATATTTTTTTTATAAAATATAAAATGTATTCTTACATTCAGTAACATGTTTCCTCTTCCTCGCTAAAGCGTATAATGTCAACAAACTTGCATTTTTGCGTGTAAAATTGACCGAAGGACATGTGTTGTTCCAGGCAAATTAATATAAAGGAAATTGTTGTGATATATATATTTCTTATTATGAATGATTAACCAGGAAATCCGGACTGAGTCTCTTTTTCAAGAATGTCTTGCGAAGTGATCGCAGGGGAGGGGTGATGATTGCCGTGTCTAATCCTAATCGAGTAATTTGTGGGCAGTTTTTTCTTTAAAATTTTGAACACTGTTTGTGCGCTCTGGCACTAGCACGCAATGGCCTTCGCGTTTCGAATGTTAAGGGACCCGGAATATGCACTGTGAAGCGAACACAGTAGATTTATTATTATTATTGCACACCGCAGTAATAACCAGAGCGACCACTGGATTCGAACCGTGAACCTCTGCAACACGCGGTGAACGCGATACCCCTACCGCCCCACATACAGACAAACTACGTGTACAGCCCTTTAGATAACTCACTGCTGGATCAGGCATCTCCACGCTGTGCGGGGTTGTGGACGTTACAAGAAAAGCCAGGGTTTGTGAAGTCAGGGAGAAGGGACATGGGGGCATAGAAGGCACAGTCCATACAGCAACAATGGATTTTGCTGCATCTGTATACGTTAGTGGAAAGAAAACAGCTGCAGAGAAGGTCGGCAACATCATCTGTGAACACCAAAATATATATTATACGTGTCACTTTTACTCTTGACTGATTACTGGCAATGAAACCTTTTCACACGTGGCATATCGCCGATATCCTGTGGCTGGGGAGAGTTATTTGTGTGCCCGACTTCGGGAGCCGCGAGGCCTTGCAGCAGTGGACAACGCGCTTGCAGGTGGCCATGCATCGCCTCGCTGCGCTGGTAAAAAAAAAATTCAATCTACGTTTGCCTTGCCGTAGATTTATTTCCATGCGCGGAGCAAACTCGGCACGAGGTGCAACTTTGTACGATCGCGGGAGATAAAGCCAGGCCGATCGGCCAGCTGGCCGATTGCTATCTGTTCGTGTTTTTTAGTTTTTAACACGCAACAAACGACGATGAAAAACGTGCAATCGCGCCGTGCACATGAATTGAAAATAATGATGCAAGCCAGGCATGTAATGATTCACACTGCCCGCATCACCAGCGATCCAATGAATTGTGGTGGTTTGGAGTTATTATACCATTTAGGAATCACTTTTTTTTGTTTATATCAACATAAACACAAATATGCCAAAACGATATCTCCTTGGTATAATATTAACATGAGTGCTAATAAAATATCAATGCTGAATATATATAAAAAAATCTAATCTGAGTATTGATCTCATCTGTGGCACCGACGACCCTTGTTTTCCAAAAAGGTATTGAACGGACAACTCCACATCAGATTTCTCAACACAGCCATCATGATGTCACTCACGATTTAGGGGAAGCAAACGTCTCCTCCGACGGCTGGCTGCACGACATCACAGATCAAGGACACCCAACGGAACAGAACATCCACTCAGCGGAGGCCAGTCTGGTGCAGCTACGTGACAGCGCATCGAACGATGTAAACATGCGCGTACAGCTCCGATCAGCAGGGGAAGACTGCTGGAAGCAGTCGCCAATGAATAATAATTACAATAATGTCTCTTATGTTGAGACCCAAAACAGCAGCTGCGAAATGTCCCGAAATGCAACAGCCGATGACAGTGGCTACATGTCACCGCCTCAGGACGCGAGCTTCCTTTCTGTGATCAGGTACGTTTAACCCGGGCTGTGACATGTACAATATTCTATCATATGGCTTTGTATAACGTCTAAATGCGATAATGTCTCAAGATGCTGTCTGGGCAGCTGCTGATCTTTTTCAGTTAATGTTTTAGGGCATGATGCCTTATTTGAGGTGTGTACAATTTAGTTATAATTTTACCCATTTTCACATCTCCATCCAGCAGTAATAACGGCGACACCACGAATTGTATATCGTCAGCTCGCCTGTGGGTACTCGCACCGCTGCCAAGACGTCTGGCCAGCGTGGAAGATTAGGCCAACTACCCTCTAGATGGGCTCTCTAGAACTCCGTCTAGTTGAGGCCCTTCCATCAACAGTTGTGCATGGATACAATTGCAGGACTGTACCTTTACCTATTTCGCCTTTACTTTTTTCGTCATTAATTTAAACATTTGTATTTTTTTAGGTCTGGGGGCAAGCACTCTAAACTCAAGAGATGCAGGAAAACCAATGCGTCAACAAAAAGCAGCCCTCTCATCACATCTTCTCCAGCTTCAGAAACAAGGGCACTCCTCCCTGACTGGCGGGCTGACCAAAGGCCAGAAGAGACCATCACAGAGATTCCCGAATCTTCAATAAGCGACGAGGATGGCTCAGATGAAGAAGACTTCAGAAAGTTGTTACTAAAACCAAACTTGACTCGGTTAAAACAACATCAGATAAGGGACTTACAACAACAGCTGGTATCTTCTGAAAGGACAGGCTCCCACCTGATGCCTAGTAAATATGGAAATTGCAGGACAGGTGCCTTGGGTGCAGCAGTGTCCTACAAAGACAGTCTACTGCAGCTGCACACCCAAACACAGGGGAGGAATCGCATGCTGCAAGACATCACGGAATCGGTGTATGGAAATCAAAGCGTGGCAAGCTGCGGCCAAACAAAACACTCGGCTCCATCCTCTGCAATGCAAAACACACCGTTGGGACCGCAGATATGCGATAACTTCAGCGACTCCGATGATTTTGAGCAGTCGATGATGCCGAGAAGATTTGGGAGGAAAAATCCGAACGATCGCCAGGCAAACGGAGAGGGTGACCAGCAGCGGTCACCTGGAGCAGAACGTGATGACGAGGGCGCGTCGCAGCACGAGGCATCGCGAGTCGTAGAAATTGTCACATTAAACAGGCCCAATTTGCAGAGGGACAGCAATTCCCCTCGGCGGGAATCTGCAGAGCCAAGCCGGAGGAGCGAGGAGACGATGCCTCCAGCCTTTCGTGAAAATGTGGAAAATGATACATTTTGGCGAAAGGGTGATCGCAACATTTGCTTCGATTTGGTGGTGATGGAAGATGATGAGGAGGAGGAATGCACTCCAATAAATTCCCGGGCGTGCGGCAATCGGTGCACGAGAAAATACGACACGCTGACACAAAGCACCCAGACTTCACCGGACATCAAGAGCTCCATCGTCGGACGCCTAAAGCGACGCGGGCAGCCTGCGCGTGCCCTGCGCGGCGCGGCCACGGGTTCGACTCGGAGAACGAAGGGGGACAGTGCCGAGCGTTTACCCTTCTCTCCCATCTTGTACGCCGCCTCGTCGGACTTTTCATCGCAAGGCGACGGTTGCAGCCTCACGCCAACGCCCCGCGCGTCCGGCGGAGCGGCGCAAAAGACTCTGCCCTTCATTCTCTCGAGCGACCTGGAGCGGTTCCCGACGAGGGGAAACTTGTTTCGCGCGATGACAAACGAGGCCGCGCGGCCCCACGTGGCGACCCGCGCGGCGACCGTAAATTACCGCGGCAGCTCGAGAATGATGCGCGCTCTCGACGCGGCGAACGAACACGGCGGCGGCGGCGGCGAACGCCCGCGGGCCGCCGTTTCGACTGGGCAGCAGCCGGCGTCGCGACGACCGATGGGAAGCGTTCGCGGCCCCCGTGGCAGGCGGGTCTCGCAAAACTGTCCGGACGCCGCTGAATTTGCGTCCTCGGCGGCGACGCGGCAAACGACGACCGCAAACGTCGACGGACGGCCGCGCCCGCGCTCGTCGTCCCGTCGCTCTGGGGCGAAATCGGCCGGCGGTGAGGCCGCGAACGAGCGTGGAGACGCGACCCTGCCGTCGATGGCGCAGGGCGAGCGCGACTCGGCCGACGCGGGCGCTGCGTCGCTCCCTAGCAGCACTCGATCCGCGCAGCTTCCAGGCGGTGCTGCGGTGGACGAGGATGGCGTTGCGAGTGCGCCGCACGCGACGGAATCGCAGGTCCTCAACCAACAGCGGCTGTCCACGTCGACTTACAGCAGACCTGTTCGGCGTGACGATGGGACAACAAGTTCGACCGAAAGCCTCGGTGGCACGGTCGCGCCACAGAGTCGCGGGTCCTCCGTGTCAGATCCGAGTGTCTGTAAAGGCGATGTTCCATCGAGTCCGACACGCGCGTCTTTGAGCGCGCACAGCAGCCGTGCACGGGCAAACGACCACTGGGACCATTCGTACAACGTCAGGGAGTTTGAGGTTGAAACTTGCGTCAATGCGAACCACGGCCAGATGAACACCGCTTCCTTTTATGGGCAAAAACAACAACTGAGGTCGCGTGAACTTTCGGGCAGACTCTCAAAGAACCTGCAGAATCGAACAGACGACAGCGCATATAAAACACCACCAGCTCAGCAGCCGACAGGGGGTCAAGTTGTTTCCCGGCTCAGGGCAATGATAGAAAAGGCCGAAAACAGACAAAAACAGATCAGCGCCATGAGCAGGATAACTCGGGTTCTAGAATTCCCACCAGGTCAGCAGAACGGTGGGCGGCATAAGAGAGGACCTGTGACCCAGCGGACCTGGGTCACACGCGCGAACCCTGGCAACGCACACGAAGGCCACGGTAACGCGCCGAAGGAGGGCGCGCTGCTGTGGGCAAGTTACGGCGATGACGGTGCCCCACCGGCGATCGAGCGGGTGCCGGCTGAGGAACCGGTGGAAGAGACCGATCGCTTTGAGCGCGGTGACGCCAGCGTCTCGCCGAATGGAGACCGTGCACAAGTTAGCCGCCGCGCAGGCACCGACGTCGACGGTTCGGTCTCCGAGGTCGCAAACGTGAGGGCACGGGGAGGAACGTCGGCTTGCGGGGCGACGAGCGGGCAAAATGTTCCGGCGAGCGGAGGAGTCACGAGGAGGGCCCGGATCGGTGGCAAGGTGGTACGCAGGGCCCCGAGCAGGCAGGAGGTGCAGCGCAGGCTCCTCCAGAGCGGCATCAGCGTGGAGAGAATGGCGAACGCCGGGAAGGAAATTTCCACGTCGATGCAGCGGAGGAAGCGGGACGCGGCCACCTCTGGCACCTCGAACCGGGAGGGGGCATCTGGAGCCACGCGGGTGGCATCTGGAACGGTTGAAGGGAACGATACATTTACGAACAAAATCCCAGGTAAAACAACACGTTAGACTTTCTCAAGACCATAAATGTATTACTGTACTTTCCTTCCCAAGAGATAACACACACATATATATTTTAAAACATGTTCCCCTTCCATTTATACACAGGGAAGAAAAATATATTCTAAAGCGTGTATACTTCAGAAACGTTCGTGCCTCCACCGCAATTGTTTACACAAACACTGCAGTAATGCACGCGCGAGAGGAAACTATTTTGCCGTCAGTTGTGGCCAGGGGTGGAGCCAGGATTTTCAGCCCGGGGTGACATTCAACAAATTTTAATTTCAAGAATGATTAAGAGAGTCAGGCTGTTGAACTAGACGCCATCGGTTTGGCGACACACTCTGACAATGCAGTTGCACGGAGTCCGCCAGACCGAGTGTCGTACACTTATAACGCAGAATGTTTCAGATTTTCGATTTTTAATTTTTTTTCGGGGGTGACAATTGTCTACCCTGTCACCCCCCTGGCTCCGCCCCTGGTTGTGGCGATGGTGTCACTTGTTGTTGTTGTTATTGTTGTTGTCTCCTTCTCCCGCTCTCTCTCTCGCTCTTCAGGCACGAGTTTCGCAGTGGACGCCTTCTCATGCGAGGCCGTCGCGAGCTGCAGCGCCCACTTCCTGAGCCACTTCCACCCACACGCCTACCGCGGGCTGTCGCGCTCCTTCGACCGACCCATCTACTGCAGCAAGGTGACAGCTGCCCCCCATGTAGCCTTAAGAGGCTGTTGGGACAAGTGCAGTTAGCGAGCACCTATTGTTACCGGCACGGTGGGTGGCCGACATCACGGCCGGTCCGCTTTTGTCTCCCCGGTTGCGCACGGTTACAAACGACCGCACCAGATACTCATTTGAGGCTGAGTCGACCTCGGGGAGGCCCACGACCGGTTTACAATTATTCCCCCCGACACTGTTATTGGTCGTGAGCGTGAAATGTCTGGCTCGGGTCGGCGGGTTCACAGCGCGGTGAACTCAACGGCGGCGGCAGCGCCGCAGCTGCACCAGAGACGTGGATTTGAAGCGGCAGGCGCCTTTTGATTCATGCATGCTGAGCTGTCTGTGCCTCGCAGGAACACACACACACACAAAAAAACCCCACAAGAATAATAAATAAAACCTTGTTGGCAGGTGTGATTTAAGGAAAACATAAAAAGAAAGCAGAGAAATAAATATGACGTTGTGATGCATAGTGCTGGTTTCTCCATGATGTATCTTCACACAGAAACAACATCGGAACAAAGATTGCATCTTCAAAATTATTAAAATATAAACATTTTGAGCCAACTAAATTTTGCATATGTTCCAAGTCACGCGTGTTTTGTTTATTTTATGTTTTTATTGTTGTTGCAAACACATTTTAATTTAAACAAATCCTTTTTAAGTTATGAAAACCCATGCATTCCTTGCTAAATGGGATATTGAATCTCAATTGGCCTTACCTGGTTAAATAAAGGACAGTGAACAAATTAACAATATATGCTTATCAGGATTTGAAGCTTTCGTGACTGCTGGAATCCATACTCTTTGGTTCTTTCGGTAAAGTCACGTAGGTAGAAAATAAAATAAGTCACGACGTTTCGGGCGTAACACAAGCGTCCATCATCAGGTGGGAAAGCTTTCGCCCCTGATGACGGACGCTTGTGTTGCGCCCGAAACGTCGTGATTTATTTTATTTTATACCTACGTGACTTTACCGAAAGAACCAAAGAGTATGCTTATCAGGATTGTAAATATGCATGGACACATTCATTAATATCAGTTATTAAGCTCACGCTACGTGCCTCTCAACGCGTGCCTTAGAATAACAATTTTCAACGCGTACATGCCGTATGTAATTGGTTCCCCACGACCCTCTGCAGCCACTGGAGGCCGCTGCATTCGCAATTTGTCTTTATATAAATGATTGCTTTGAATGGAATCGCAAACCTAGATGGCGAAAAAATCCATTAAACCATGGGGGCGAATTGTCGCATCCATAGCGTCGTCTATTGCGCCGTTACGACGGGCTGCTTTACTGCTATTGTTTTTTGCTACCTTACTCAATCTTGACAAAACACATTCCTGCGGAGGGAGCTGGTAGGAACGTTGGGTTGCTCGGTCAATGGCCAGGGTCAACGGCGGCACCACGTGGTGTATTCCGCAAATATGCCCGACTGTGAGGGCGGGCACAAGCCGGCGTGAGTAGGTTAAACGTTGAGTTTTATAAGGGCACCACGGGGTGACCAGCCCCTCCCCACCCAGCCCCTCCCCTCCCACTCTCCCCACCCAGCCCCTCCCCACCCTCCCCACCCAGCCCCTCCCCACCCTCCCCACCCAGCCCCTCCTCACCCTCCCCATCCAGCCCCTCCCCATCCAACCCCTCCCCACCCAGCCCCTCCCTCCCCACCCAGCCCCTCCCCACCCTCCCCTCTCCACCCAGCCCCACCCCTCCCATTTTTGGATACACAACGGACGGACACAATAATCCCCTGTGGGCTGGTGTAACCAGGAGGTTCCTACCAGTATCAACTTGTTTGCTTACCATTTTCTCTATTTTTCACTCCTGTCATTTTGTTTGTGTACTCTTTGCTGTTGTAACTTGGCTGACCCGCCCATACCGGACATCTGTGAAAAAGAGCTTCATAGCTCATCGGATTCCTCCTCCAGGCCAAATGAAGATTCTGATGCTGATCATGCGCTCCATCTCCGTGATGTTCGTCTCCTCCCTTGTCAATTCACTCCCCTGAACCCCTCCCCACCGTAGGTAACGGCCGACCTGGCGAACTGCAAGTTGGGCGTGCAGGATGCTCATCTGCACCGGCTGCCCCTGAACACCGTGTCCGTGGTGAACGGCGTGCGAGTCGTCCTGCTCGACGCCAACCAGTGAGCGAGGCCCCCACGGTCGAACAACCGCATTACCCGTGAGGGTTTAGAACAAAGGGGTCGGTGACCTGCGGCTTTTTAAGGGACTGCTTCGTGGCTTCCGACGCTATGATTGAAAAGTAGAAAAAAACCCTCCTAATTATTTTCGATAAACGGTTAACGTCTAAAAGCCCCAAAAATATTTATAATGCGGCATTACAAGTCAGTGTACGTGTGCTGTTCTTAATACAGGCATTACATAAACAATGGTTTAACGTTATTCATTAAGGACCGTCTAGTATTCGAAATATTTAGGGTGTTTTTTTACCGAATTCGAAGAAAACTGCTATTTTTGTTATTTTGTTTGCCAAACCCCTGGTTTACAACCACAAGGGGTGCGGCACTTAAGGACCCATGGGCCAGATTATTGGCCACAAGCATCGTTTCACATTTGGCTCTCCGATCGATGGGGGTTTTTTTGGGTTGTTACGTACGTATGTCAAACTTTTTTCGCACTGTACGTAGTCAACCGTGCCAATTGTGGTACCCCAACGTTTCGCCAGCAGTGGCGTGAGAAAGTAATCGCGGGACTTGCAACTCTACCCCCTCGCTCAGGGACCCACCGTCTCGTATTCACCATAGTGCATTACAGCTCTTAAAATGTTGATTTTTTTTTATCGAATTCTAACCAAAAATGTCTCTTCTTGTTGTTTCTGTTTGTCGACCCCTGCCCGAGCTGATTGACGTGTCTCTACGTGCACGCGTGTCCGCAGTTGTGCCGGAGCGTCTATGTTCATGTTCCTGGTGCCCGACGGCAGGACGATCCTCTACACCGGACACTTCCGTGCGAGCGCTGCCATGGAGAGGAGCCTGCAACTCGCCGCTCGCCGCGTCGATGTTTGCTACATGGACACCACGTGAGTGCGTGCTTGCCGCCTGTGCAGTGTTGCCCGACTCGAGTTGCTTGCGAACGCTTTTGTTGGCAAAGCGGCGGCTACGTTCGGGCAATGGCCTGCAATGTTAGCCTTGCGGGCTCACACGCTGCACTGTTGTCGAGCTAACGGTGTGATAAGCCAGATAGATAGCGTGTCATATCACAATGGGTCATGGGACCGACTCTCCGCCCTTCACCAACCCGCATTGACCAGCGTGGTGAAGTATGGTCAAATAACCCCATGAATTATGAGGCGTGGAGAGGCCTTAACCAATTGGCGGATTGACAAGATTAAGTAACAAATTATTGTGTTCTTCCAGTAGCAATGAAGCAACTGGAAAAAACTCGTCTGACCTTTGCGTATAGGTGGCATGTGGAGGATGTCAAAAATCTCATGGAAGGATAGGGTAAGGTGTGGAAAGACATATGTGGAAAGCGAGTGCTTGTGGGTGTAATCAGGAAGAGAAGGTTGCCATGGGCGCTGGGTAGGAAGGGGGAGGGCAGGTGACCGGGACAAGCAATGGAGTGGCGCCCACAAGTCCGCGACCAAAGGGAAGACCAAATACAGGAGGTGGAACATTGAATGTTGACTGCCAACTTTGCAGCAACTGTGGGGCCGAGCGGTCGAGAGGAAGCAAGGTTGATGTGTGGTGGCATCAACAGCAGTGGCTATAATGACCTTGCTATACTTTGGGAGTTGGCATCCTAAGCGGTGACTAAAAACAGGGACACTTAAAGCATCGGTGTTGTTGGCTCCAAACAGGCCTCTCACCCCCCAGTTGCCCAAAGCCTCCCGTCGGTGTTGTTGGCTCCAAACAGGCCTCTCACTCCCCATATGCCCAAATCTTCCCGGTCGTCCGTGTCCAACGTGGAGCTGGCAGACACGCGGGCGAGGCTTTCACTGGAAGGACGATCCCCCTGGTGAAAAGATCCCCTTGGAGAAATCCGATCAGCTATGAAGCTCTTTTTCAGATTACGGGGATTGAGGAGGGGGGGAAGTACAAGTCACAACCACCGGTCCTCTCTACTCCGCCCCAGCGTGTAACGTTGAGGTGTTGTTGAATCAGACAATAAATGGAATGCTTGTTTTATAAGAAAAACATATATATCGGCCCTATTTAAATAGCTTAACATTTTGAGATTGATCTCCCAACCCCTCCCTCTGGGAAGTTTCTACACCCCCGCCTCTTTGCTAAACGTAGAAGCTCTTCCATTTTCACTTGACCAAAGCACCAATCCACATCCATGTGCAGTTGCTACTCAACTTATATCGACAGCATAGACAGAAACCAAATCAGCTGCAACGTATCCGATCTCAGCAGAAGCTAAGCAGAATTGAGCCTGGAAAGTGTCTGGATGAGTGGCCCGCCGTGCGCGAATATGGTTTGTTTGTAGGTTGCTGAAGGGGGCGACATCATTAGCGGGAAGCGATGCAGAAAAATCCATCGTACGCCCCAACGCACGCGCTCTCCGGCCCCATTGACCCGGCGTGCTAAAGTGTGGTCGAATAACCCCCGGCCCTCATCCAGCAGTGGATTTCATTTTGTGCCCGTCCACCAAAGTCAAATGTACTTCCAGTGGAAGTACATGTGGAGCACCGCCGCGTGGTTCCGGGTCGTATCTCGACCGACCTGCCCACCTTGACCTGCCGACTTGGGTGCAGCGGATCGACAATCGAGGCGCTGCACAAACGTGCGCAAGGTGCACCGCATGAGCCACGTTTGTGGGAATGTCTCGCTCGCCCCGGTTCCGCTAGGAACGCTCCGTCAGTCGAGGTTTTTATGGCTCGTCTGAAAACTAATTTATTTTCTCTTGCGTATATATCCGTCTGTGCAGGCGTTGTTCTCCTCTTAGTTTTCACGTTAGGGTTTTTTGTTTTTTACCGGGATTGTGTTGTAAAGCGCTGTGCGAGGCACTGCGTGACCGGCGCTAGAGTTTCACTCACTCACTTCACTGTCATGTATCGCATTGTTGCATCGGGTCCCCATTACCACGGTGTCCTTGGGTGACCTCGGTGATAACCTCTGAACGCAAACGCGCCGTGGGGCAGGTGCTTGCACCTGGAGAAGGAGCCGCCGGCACGAGAGGACGTCCTGCGCTTTGCGACGCGTCTGGCGTCCAGCGCGGTGGCCCGGAACCCACGCACGATGCTCGTCTGCGGGTACCGCGCGCCAGGCGACGAGAAGCTCTGTCTGGGTGAGGTCGCTGTCTGGGTGAGGTCGCTGTCTGGGTGATGTCGCTGTCTGGGTGATGTCGCTGTCTGGGTGAGGTCGCTGTCTGGGTGAGGTCGCTGTCTGGGTGATGTCGCTGTCTGGGTGAGGTCACCGCCGTCGGGGCGTTGACCAGATGAGCGCCCTAGGGCTTTCCCGGCTCTCCGCCATCGCCCCTCGTTATCGCCTCTTTAAATTACCAGGCTGCTTTAAAAAATGTGTTAACACTTACATGGGACTTTCGTTTTCTATGGAAAAAAAGAACGGATAATAATACCTTGTAACATGACAACAAATGTAATGTTAATAGCTTCAAAAGTCAAAGAGTCTCCACTTGTTCGCGATCATTGTCAACACGTGCCTGGAATCTTCTCCAGGTGGTCTCCAGAGCCCGGAGGCAGCAGCACATTCCTTTTGGTATTGTTGCAAATTCTCAGAAGTGTTAAAACATTTTTGAAGCACTCTGTAATGCGTCTGCAAGAAGAGCACCCAACCTCCACCGCTCCCCACGAAGCGAATCTAGAAACCTCCTTGGAGGGGAGGGTAAAGGCGGATTAAGCTCTGAAATGTCAAGCTTTTAAAGTTCAAGTTTATTTTGTTCGGCCAGGTGAGAGCTCAAAAGAGACTAGGATGAGTCTCGCTTGCAAGAATCACCTGGAGCATTAATCTGCCAGTACGGGGCGATGATTGCTATATATGGTGCCGAGTGCCCATTGAGTAATTTAACAGCAACATAGATTAATACAAATTTTCAACTTTTATAAACATTCATACAAAAAAATCCCATAATTGTCTGCAGCCTTCAATTAAAAATGTGCTTTTGATCCATCAGGTTATTTGCTTTCCAAATCAATAACTTGACGTTGTCAAGCAGAATTTGTTTAAGCAAGCAAACTCTGGACCAGTTTCAACATTTTGAGTATTATCAGCAGTCAGGCGTGTTAAATATATACTGCTGGTTTACCAGATGTTATTGACAAGGGTACGTATTCCGTAACGTACTAACTTGCACATTCACCTCAATTAACCCTCCTATACAGTTTTCGCTTATAAGTTCGCAAAGTTTCAGTCAACGTCGACGCCGCTGCCAAATAAAGTCTCGCAGCCGCTCCGCTGTCGTTGACGCGAATTCCTCCTCCCGGCCCTCGGGGCCAGCGTTGGCCGAGGCCGTGGGCTGCCGAGCGGCCATGGCGATGGAAAACTACGACACGTTGCAGCTGCTGGGCACGGGGCGAGCGCGGGACCTCGCCACCCTGGACTGGCACGCCACGCGCCTCCACGCGCTCGCCATCACTCAGCTCAGCTTCAAGGTCCGTCATCCCCCACCCTTCATCCCCCCCACCCCTCATCCCCCCACCCCCCCCCCAAAACCCTTTTCCCTCCCCACCGCCCCCCCGTAAAACAAACCCCCATTGGTCAGCATCCTCCAAAACGAGTCACTATTCGTCCCCCGGGTAAAGATCTTGTGGCGTGTTTCAATATCGGGGTTTTTTGGAGTGTTGGCGGGGTTGCCGGCAAATGGAACCAGGCTGCAGGAAAATTTTTACATAAACTCAAAATAATTATGGCATGAGAAAAAAGGGCCCTTCAAGAGTTGTCGTTGATTGATTTTGTCCGTAAAGGAACACGAGCATCGTGCTCAAACTTAACTTTCTTACCGTCTCTCGAAACAAGTTTTCATGAAACCACCTCGTGAACAACAAAAAACGAAACCGGTTGGGGTTTTTTTTAATGGAGCCAAACGAAATTGCGGCGTTCAAAACACTCGAATGAGGGCGCCTATTTCGGCAACGCTGTTTACTTTGAAACCGTTATACAACGAGCGCTGTGCTTTTGGTTGGGATCCAGTCACGGGGACTTTGCTTTTCGTCCGCTCTAATAAATCAACTCGCTGCACACACGAGGAGTTAAGAAAACGTGAAAGTGTTTTACCGAGCTACATTTCTCGAATACTGTAATTTTCGCAACCGCCGCAGACACAATCGAGCGTTCAAACACCGAACTCAAAAGCCAACGCCGCCCTCTTAAGCAACCGTTCTAATTTTACTCTCTGGACACTTCGTTTTTATTTAATGAATTAATATTCGATACGTTTGAGACCCATTAGCCAATTCTACGAGTCAACCGCATGTTGTGTGCCACACTATTAGGTTACCCACCAGGCAGCCTGGCATGAGTTATAGGTCCCTTGCGCTGTGATTTGGCGCAAAAAAAACAAAAACGGTAAGAGGGCATGTTATACACGTTATACACATGTGACTGCATTTGGTGGACGTAACTTTTGCGGCCGGGACGAATACCAGTGCAAGGATGCTGCACTCTGACTCAAGCGCGTGTGTACGGTCAACCTCATGGATCTTAGCACGAACATTACTACGCCTGGTACATCCCAAATGAATTACCTCCACTCAGTCGAAACATTACTTGGGCTGGGTGGATCCGCCGATGTTTCAATTCCACCCGCATGAATGTCCTCTTTCAAAATAATGTGTTTCATGAGTTAAGTCACACGGGGAGAATTTGCCCAAATCCCAGAGCCCTCTCGCCTCATTGAATCGTAGCGGGATTCTTGCCAGTTCACCCTGGTCAACACGACACGTTTCAATTTGTAAGACCGCAATAGACATTATATTTAAAATATATGCATGTATGTAGAAGGAACACAATCTCAGCTAAACACCTCATACGGAAGTCTGCACATGTTAAAGGACAGTAACTTCAACACCAGAATCTTTATTTAGACTGCAGGGGGAATCCGATTATATGAAGCTATTTTTCACAGATTTCCAGAAGGGGCGGGTCAGCAAGTTACAACAATGCCAAAAGAAACATAGCAGTGCTAAATACCTGATAACACCACGCTGGGTTTTAAACTTCAATAGTTACTTCACGATTAACACAAGACCACAGTGATGTAAGGACAGGTTTTTTTTTACCAACGCTTTTTGTGAGAGGCTCCGTTGCACGGTACATCACTCTAACTCAGCGTTCTTCGTTGGAAGGCACACGGTCCACTGGCAGGCCTTTGGCGCGGCCCTACAACAAGACACGAATGTGAAAACACCCCGTGAAGGCGGTGTGGCGGGATTCACACTGATGTCTCATCGGCGAAAGTGGTCCCCTTGTGAATATTAGCGAACGCTGCTCTAAATCGAGTGGCTCATGGGTATGTGAACTTCGAAGAGAGTGGCACCCAAGTGCTAGGGGGTAACGGCTCCTTATCTCCTTCTCAGGGGCTGAGCGCCCACTTGCGGAGGTTCTCTACCCAGTACGACTACCTCCTCGCCTTCAAACCCATGGCGCAGTGGGACTTCAAGGGACACTCTCGCCTCTCCGACATCCAGCCGCACATCGCACAGAACGTCATCATCTACGGTTAGACGATTGCGTAGTTTAGAGAGTTTAATTCATGGGTCCCCATGCCAATACACTAATCGTTTTTTACTTCAAAATGATCTCATTTTCCAGCTTCCTATAGGTTTTTTTTGCCTTCGTGTTAAACATGTTTCACCTTTTTTAATTTAAAGCTTTCATGACTGCAGGGATTCATATTCTTGGTTCTTTCCGTAAAGTCACGTAGAAGGGAAACAATAAAATTATAAAAATATAAAACAATTACATTTTTATTATTTTGTTTCCCTTCTACGTGACTTGACCGAAAGAACCAAGATTATGTTTCACCTTGCAATCTTCACAGGCACGTCGATGTTCGTTAAGGGGGTTTTTTTCCCCCACAAATCAACTGTGAATACACCCGACAATGTGCAATGCGACTGCGTCTCCAAAAAACAATTTATTACGTCCCGTCAAAACACTTTTGTATGCAAGCCTCCCTGCGTCGTGAAGATTACAAGGTGTGCGTTTTGATCATACCTCACCAAGCTGGTCTTGCGGGTTGATGAACATGGGGTGCCCGGGAACGTTTCAGATATCACTCGATATTAGCGCCATGGCCAAGAATACAACTCAGGCCATCGGGTTTGTGGAGCAGCGTGTGAAAAAACAAAAACACTCCTCTGCATTAACCACACGTACTCGTGGTAAAACGTGCAAGCATGCTCCGACAACGTATGCATTGTCTTTGAAACCTATTGGCCTACACCAGAGACAAACTTGGCTCACCAGTGTTATATCTACATGTATCTACATATAACAGCTGTAAGTGCTCAAATACGTGCATTGTCTTTGTACCGTTTGCCTTTTGGCGTTCTCTGGCCTGACACTGGTGAGACAAGGCCATGAAGAAGGCTGTCTCTGGTGTAGGCCCGTTTCAAAGACAAGGCCATATTGTCAGAGCACGTTATTTTGCATGTTTTTGCCACGTGTAGTTAATGCAGACTTTAATCCTTGCAAAAGCTGTATCAATTTGGTGTTTGAACAGCTTTACACCTGTTTTATTGCCAGAAAGGGTAAAAACCCCGTTATTTTTCATTATATTTGATACTGGCAAAAGATCCCATAAAAGACACTCCTCCTCCTCTGCCCATCCACCCCAACCCACCCCATGGCGTCCACCGCACACTCAGGCGTGCCCTTCGTGGACCACAGCAGCCGCTCGGAGCTCAAGAGGTTCGTCCAATGGCTGAGGCCACGGAGCCTGGTCCCCGTGGCACCGGCGACGGCCCGCAGGAGCGCTGCCGCCTCGGAGGCCATCCTGCGAAAGTGGCTCTCCGACATCGGAACGTTTCCCGCTCGCCCGACATCGAACCCCTGAGAGGGGACGGCGGTCTGCGAGACAAGGCGCCCTTCTCTCTCTCGCTTGGTCTTGTGCTTGTTTCTGTATCTTTCCGGCTTTCGATTTGAATTGTTTTGTTTGAGATGGCCACACTCACGCGCACTGGCCGAATAACTTTTGTGGTGCTTAACGACAAAAAAGAAACGTGGGTGAGAGTGGGCCCCAGTAACGGGCATCAGTTGTGAATGATAGAATGGCACGTTCAGTTTAATAAGGAATCAAAATGTCCAATTAGGTTTTCACTCCACTTCACACTTGCCGTAGAAAAAAATGTCAATCTCACGTCTTTTTAGTTGACAACAATAATGCTCGCTGCAAATAAAATGTTTTGACATATCACCCTGTTGACATTAGCTTTCGAGACAACTATAATGATGACTTAAATTAATAGTGTCCAAATACAAAGCCATCTCCAGCTGCGGTACCGAGACACTACATAATATACAGAGTAAAGGGCAAACTAATTAAATTAAATGCGAAAAGCAAAAGAGGGGAATGAGTAAATTGAGCCAGTTCCATGACAGGCCGTGGCCGGGCTGACACAACCACCGCAATTGGCAATTGCATTGAATTATTAAATTGTGGATTAATGCAGCAAGGGGGTCATGGTTTGTATGCAGGAAGGAGGCGAGTCAACTGGGAAAGTTAATTATTTGGGCACTAGTCGACGAGAGGAAGAGGGTCCCCTACGTCCGAACCTACCGAGGGCGAGAGAATGAGCGGTGAGAACAGCCAAAGGGGAGAGAATTCCAGACGGCAGTGACACAAAATGAGAAGTGGCCTCTTAAGTTTGGGGGGTTGATTTTGTGTTTCACAAAGACGCAAAGGCTACTCACAGCATCGATATTTTTTCGCGGGTGATCGATATGATTAAATAGCAGTGAGCAAGGGCCGGATGCGGTTCTTTTGAAAAAAGGGAGTCTGATCACGGATATCAACGTAACAATGTGCCTAAATAAGAACACACTTGACATGTATCAATAACATTTTAACGAAAGGAAACGTCTGAGAAGCTCACAAAGGACGGCTAGGGATGTACGCGAAGGATCACATTTATAGGAAGTACGCATTGACTTTACCGAAATAACCAAGAATATGAACACAAATCACTCATCGTACTAAAAGGGGCATGGGCAGGCCACACTGCTACAAGGGGAGAGAGAAGACTGCGGATGGAATGGCAGCCAAAGGAGAGAACACACCCAGCAGGAAAACCATCGCAGAGATTAAGCCATACGATGGGTTAATGGAAGGGAATGCAATGGATTGTTGCATCGCAGCACTGGCGGGGGATGCCAACAGCATGGGTAGCCCTTCATCCAAGAGTAGCTAGTAAACGGCAGATAGCGATAATAAAACCTCTTATGCACCTGTCTGGTGTATTGTCACATTCAGAGAGTCCAGCATAATGGATTTGTACTTAGCTGCTCGTTACCGGCGTGTGAATGGACCTCAGGTCGCACATTCAGTCCTCAAGCAGGAATGAATGCAGGACGATTGTACACTGCTGTCCATTGCTAATGGCCAGGGAGGTTGCTACCGCATTGACAAATGACAGCACATTCACATCTGCGACTACAGCACCCTCTAGTGACGAAACACTTCTTGAACGTCTTCACGCGATCGCGATGCTGTGTGGGGCAAGCAAGACGGCCCCCGTCAGGTTAAATAAATACAAAGGCAATAACTTTTTTGAACGAGTCAACGCAAATGTATTTTTTTTTACATTTCTGCTTGGCATCGTGCAACTAGACGGCAGATACGCAGGCAGAGGAAACAATGTAAATGGTGACAATACGAGACACCGGCAGGTAAAACCTACGATTTAGATTCCCTTCAACGTGACTTTTTTGTTTCCCTTCAACGTGACTTTACCGAAAGAACCAAGAATATGAATCACTGCAGTCACGAAAGCTTTAAATAAAAATTTAAGATTCTAATCTTTGACGAAACCGCTTACACGTGTCGCCTTGACCATCTGCCGCGTTGTTGGAATGGTCCTTCAACTTTCGGGCGAGAGGAAACAATAACTGGGATGTTAAACACTTGCACACAAACTCATTTGCCGAATCCTGCTTTGGTAAGAATAGTCACCAAATAATAATTTGTTCCCATCATATGTTTTAACAGTGACATAAGGCCCATTTTATTTGAAGTCTCGCACAAGGCAACCCATGTCTCATCCTTGGAATATCATCTCGTATTTCAAGTGCCATTGTTAAGTTCGCAGAATAACTCTCTGCAACAAGTTCAAAAACACGGGCACAAACAAAATGTTAACTGTTAACGATCGACAACAATCACTACTCATGGGCCTCCTCATCCAAGGCTCGCTGGATGAGCTTGACAACGCGTTCAAGTTTCCTCTTCGCTTCCACCAGCAGCTCCAACATATTCACGGCCTCCGTCACCTCGGTGAGAATCTCGGACAGGACCCCTTGAAGTAGGGTCGGCTGGCACAGAAGGTTCCAAACGCAGGTCAAAGGGGTCATGCACAGAAATAACTTAAGGAAAATGTTACCCGTAAAAGAAAAGTTCAAACGCAGTTAAAGCGTACAAATTTTTGATGGAAATCGTGAAAATTAAGCAATTATCAAACTGTTATGTGCGGTCGGTCAAGTGAATAGTCACGCCAGGTCAAAGTACCCACATTGTCTAGCCTCACCGGGTCATTAACGACAAATTCCTCAGGGACGACAGGGGCTTCAACCGAGGGATCGTCCGCACCTCTCGACTTCCATTCACCCAAAGCCAGCGCCACCGCCGCACCTACGAGATGCACTGCCGTCGCATTAAACGCAACGCGCGACGACACACTTTCAATTCACGAACAATCATCCGAACGTGGTGCAAGACACGGCATGGCTCGGCGCACGCAAGGGCAACCTTCAGCGACGGCGCCGGGTAGTTGCCGGTCGCACGCATCGGTGGGCGGAACGCCGGGGAGACGATCGTCCAGCGTCGTGATGGTCTCGACCGAGCTGCCATCGCTGACGGAGTTCGACCCGCACCGGACGCCGCACACCCGGACCGTGGACTCTCGATCCTCCGGCACGTCGCCAGGCCCGACCGCCAGCGTGGCTAGGCCCACGAGCGCCAGCTGGTGCGCCACGGACCTGTAAGCGTCGGGCGCCGCCTGGCTCGAGTTCTCCTGCTGCGCCGCCGGAGTGTCCTGCAGGTCCACGGGGACCGAGTCTCCGCACCGCGGCGCCATCACAGTGGCACGCAGGCACCGGTCGGACACGAGGTTGAGCAGCGCCTCCGTGGACTCCGGCGACCAAGAGTCAGAGTCGACGGGCAGCACGCCTCCACGCGCAAAGACGGGTAAATGTATCGAGGAAAAAAAACATCAGGTTAGAAGGGCTACTGTGGTAAGTTTTTCCTTCCCCCCGCACCTCCTATTAGCACGGTTGGCTACGTACGGTGCGAAAGAAGTTCAACACACACATTCATTGTTGTGCCATTTCGAGCTCCTTTTTGCTCTGGACAAACATTTCCTAATGTGTTTTGAGAATTACCACATTCAAGCGCTCGATACATTTAAAATCCCCCGAATCGTTTTGGTGCTGTAATTATTAAACCCTGAGAGAAGCAGTGCACAGCAAGGTCACACTGTGGCCGAGCGCACATTTACAAAACACGTAAATTGGGAACATCACAATATCATTTCAATGGGAATTATTTGTGGCAAAATAAATCAGATGAACAAGCAATATTTACACACGACACCAGGTACTCATTTGAAGCCGAGTCGACCAAGGGGAAGCGCAGGACCGGTTCAGATAATCGTCACACAAGTACACGCGCGCGCGGACGCACACGTGTATGTGCACGCGCGTGTGTGTACTTGCTGGCGTTCTGTGGCGGTGCCCACCCGCCAGGCTGCAGCGGAAGGCCATGAAGGGGCAGCGCAGCAGGTGGCCGTCCCCGTCGAGGGGCCTCAGGTCCTGCACGCCCACCTCCTCGCTGTTGCCAAAGTCGGGGTACTCGACGCGCACGAGCTCCCCGACGCAGGCCAGCACGCGTGCGCGGTACCAGCTCCCGTTGCCTGAGGGGCACGGACGTCGGCGAGCATTCACAAAGACAACCGAGTGAACGGTCGGTCGGATGATGTGAACAACAGAGAGATGAGTGTGCGGGGGGGGGGGGGCGGGGCGGAGAGGGTTGGTTGGTCGTTCCAGGGAGGGAGCTAGCAAGGTGGACAGACGCTTGAGTGGGCGAGCGAGCGTCCAGTCGAATGATCGAGCAAGCGAGAGAGCGGTCAGTAAAACGACAGAAACGGGTGAGTGTATGAATAGTCCGTCAGATGTTTGAGTGAGCGATCAAGCAGTCAGTTGGACACTTGAGCGAGTGTATGGTCGGTTAAACACTTGAGCGAGCCGGAGAGCGTGCGGTCACTCAAGCGAGCAAGAGAGCAAGCAAACGGTCATTCAGACATTTGGGCGAGCCGTCAATTCACTGATTGGTCACGTGAGGTCAAAGTTCCACATTGCCGAGCCTCACTGGGTCGTTGTGGACCACAAGAGACGTTTGCGGCGAGCGAGCGAGCAGTCGCTCAGATTTTTTTGAGCAATCGAGTGATTGATCCAGTCAGCTGTTTGAGTTAAAGTGCGAGTGGTGAAGAGTGTGAGGCAGCGGCGCTTACTGCTGTAGCGCGCGCAGCACAGCTGCCCCGGCTTGGGATGGAAGTCTGGCTGTGGCTTCGTGCGGTCGCAATATGAGGCCACCTCCACCAGCACCTCCTGGAGAGCCTGGATTTCTGCGCCACCACATACATCGGGGAAGGCCCCCACACGGCGGAGATGAAACGACGTTCATCCTTTTGATTTAAAGCTTTCGTGACTGCAGAGATTCATATTCTTGGTTCTTTCGGTAAAGTCACGAAGGGAAACAATAAAATAATAAAAATATTAAACAATAAAATTCTCACGACGTTTCGACTGCAACACAAGCAATCATCATCAGGTGTGAAAACCACAACAAGAAAATTTGAAAAAAGTGGTGGTGTGAAAACCACTTTTTTATTTGAAAAAACCGCCACTTTTTTCAAATTTTCTTGCTGTGGTTTTCACACCTGATGATGATTGCTTGTGTTGCAGTCGAAACGTCGTGAGAATTGTATTATTTTATATTTGTATTATTTTATTGTTTCCCTTCTACGTGACTTTACCGAATGAACCAAGAATATGACGTTCATCCTCTCGGGGGTTTAGTTGCCGGGGTCGTACAACACATCAGCGTTCATGTTAAATTAAAGATCGTGCTTGTATGCGCCAGTTAATTTCATTAATATACGGTTTACCACTTGGCATGTGTAATCGTGCATTCCTCTCATTTGTGGGTATTCTCTAAGTACTCCGATTACCTCTAGGCACCTCTTTTCTCTTATACACGTAAGCCAGGCTCTGTCCCGGGGTAGTTCACAAGCATCAGGGACTGCACGGTCAATGGGCCACAACTCACCGTTGTCGACAAGCCGGATGCAATAGAAGTGACCAGGGTGCTGTACATCAGTGACCATGACGGAGAACTGGGCCCCTACAGGAAACTCCATGCTGCCTGCAAAGGTGGGGGAGCTGGCGACTGAGAGGGTGTGCGAGAGGGTGGGCGAGAGGGTGGGCGAGAGGGTGGGCGAGAGGGTGGGTGAGCCGCTTCTGTGAAGGGAAAGAAGAGAAAGTCACAACAGCTTGTTTTGTGCAAAAGCACAAACTTTTATCGTTGCCAGCTTTGGCAGCACCGCAGCACTGTCTCGCGACCCCAAAATCCGAATGTTTGCCTAACCGCCACTTCGCAGCTATCATCTAAGACAGAAACTGAAAAGTGTGCAAACAATTGAGAGATTTATGCTTAGAATTCCAATGAGACACGGAGGAGGAATACGTGAATTAGAGAACATACGCCTGTTAAGAGATATACCAATTGTTGAGAAAAGTAAACAGGCGTGGGCAGGATGATGGCCGGGTGGTGAAGACTTCATGAAGACTTCATGATAAGAGTGGCAGCGAAGAGGGAACAAGCCATGGAGACGGCACAGTAAAATGTTTTCGCGTGCAAGAGGACTCGAAGAGATGCCGATGACCTGGGGAGGCCTTCATCCATCGGTGGATCGATGACTGATGATGGCGAATGTGAAAACTCACCACATGGAAGACCTGGGGTTAATATTAAATTAACTGCGAAGGAACACAAGTGCATACACACCACAGGTGGCCCCACTAAAACTAGACAGCAGAAGTGATATCAGCAACTCCTCCACTGTTAACACTGCAGCATCATGTGGACAAGGAACTCATGATGAATGCTCAGCCATGGGAGTCAACTCTAATTACAATTACAGCGTCATTCGTTGGCTCAAGTAACAATCGCAATCATGTTGCGATTGGAATTCCTTACGAATTACAAATACAAGCACGATCGGGACTCCAGTTCGGCGAACAGGAACTCACAATGAGCAGTAGACGGAGGCGGCGAAATTTCGTCGGGCGCGGGCGATGTGGGCGCAGCCACTCCGTGCTTCACGAGCAACTCGGAGAAGTCGCACTCCGGGTCCTCCGCGGGCCCGAGTTTCACCTCGAGCGTCGACGTGTGCGCGTCGCGCGCCACCACGCGGGCGCGCAGGATCTCGCCGCTCACCAGCCCTGCCAGTAGCCCCGTCGACTCCACGCTCCACGCATCGCACACCGGCCGGACCCCTGCACGGTTGTACAAACACGTGTGTGTATATATGTGTATACGTGTATATATATACACACACACACGTTCAGTGCAATATCCTCAATCACAATGAGCGATAAAGCTCTTTTTCACAGATGGTCAGTCGGGGCACGGCGTCAGAAAATTACAACGAAAATTACAAAAACACCACAGGAGTGCAAAGAATAATAAAGGTAAACAAATCACAAAAAAAATTGTAGCTTACCAGGTAAAGCCCACTGAGCTATTAGTTAATTTTTCAGAAGCAACCTGGCCACAAATGAAAGCTCAACGAAGTGGCTAATCACGTGGAAATGTATAGCAGCCAAATACTCTAAACGCGTGTTTCCTCGGGGAGAGATACGTCCGTTACGCGCCGAGTGTCTCTCAATTCCATGATCTGTGCAAGACACACCCCTGTTCAGCCTTGCCGTCCGATAAAATCTAAAATAAAAAAATACTGTTTCTTTACCGATTTATTTTTACTACTTATTTTGCTGCTGTTGTTCGTTGCGCTGGCTTGCACTTTATTTAACTTTGCTCAGTCGGTGTGAGCCGCTGAGGGCGTGACGAGTTTCCTTTCTCTCATTCCCGTTGCTCTACGCCCCTGTACCATCCCCGGTCTGCTGTAATGTGCACAGATGCCTACTTTATTGAAGGCGATATTGGCACGTAAAGATTAATTTATTGACGGATCCATTTACAGGGAAAATTCGAGAGAAAATAAAATCTTGCTTCAAAGCCTCGACATGCTTACCAACAATCTCAATACAATTTATCAAATCGTCTTCTCCTCTGTAAGACACTCTCTCCGTAAGATATGAAACTAATAATGGAAAATCCACATTCCCATGACAATAACCAGTTCCTCCACTAGGCAATAACTCAATTAATTCTACTCTCTTGAAAAAAAAGAGTATTACGACTCAGTCAGACTTTTATGGACAAATATAAAAATACACAATTATTATTATCATGAATAAACACGACATTATTATTATTATCATCATGAAACTGGCACCTGACAGGCAGCACCGCAGGGCTTGGGCGGGCAACTTGAGCAGCGCATGTGGGATGGCCCGCAGGCGGGACACCTTTAGGCTCTCGCAGTTGCCAAAGTCCATGTAGCACACTTTCACCGTGTCCTCGCTTGGCACGTCCAGGATCATGGCTCGGTACCACACGTTATCCCCTGGGATTCAACGATCACGAGCGTCGTCATCTCGTCATTGACCCCCCCCCACCCACCCCCGCACACCTGCAGCAATCGTCACAACCCGCCTCGGTTATACGAGGCAGCACATTCAAACCTACGCGCCTCAATCAGCCTCAAGGCTTCCGTAAGTCACGTGACTTAGATGCGGCCACTCGAACTCCGAATAACTCCCCTCTCCCCGCCCCCTGTGAAAACAGACGCTGCTCCATGCAGCTCCCATCTGCTTGGTCCTTCCATCTATCTCCCTCTCTCGTCTCCCCTCTCACCCCCCACGGCTACATTATATTTATGACTCGACTCCCCTTCCCGTGGTGTGCAACGCACAATGCCTTTCATGCCTACGTTTACTTTTAAGTGGTAATGCATTTAAACAAGCACATTTAATGGGTAACATTGCTATTTAGACCTTTCATTATTGAGCTTTATTTCACAACATTTTTTTTATAACAGACGAACAATATATATGAAAATTATTCATCATCATCATAAAGCCATATAGGAAAATTATTAATCATCATCAGCCATGATCAATCCACTGCTGAATCAAGACCTCCACAAGAAGTCGCCATTTCTCAAGGTTCTGCGATGTAACAATCCTTATCGTAGTTTGTTTGTTCTTCCCCCCCACCTCACCTGCGATTATCACAAATGACTACGTACGGTGCGAAAGAAGTTCAACGTACACACATACATCGCGCTATATGGCGCCTCCGGAGGCTGCGATCTTCGCGGACCATACGTCAAGAGGCTACGTGGCAGTGCGTCGCGACCCGCGCTCGCCATGCCGCTACCCGAGTACTGCGCCGAGACGACTTGTCCGACACACGGCGATACCCTGGGAGGCTCCGGCTCGGAACCGAGGCACGCGACCATCGCCATCACCTTGACCAGCTCTTCTAAGGAGGGGGGGGGGGGGAGGGGAAACGGAGGGGAGGGAGCAGGAGGTGCCGCCGCAGGGCACTCGTTATCGTGCAGACTGAAAAAAATAAATGCGAGTTTTGTGCCAATGCACTACCTCCGTTGAGCTTTGGTTTAACTTTTTTATTCATTTTTAAGCCCGAAGCCACTGCTGGACGACTGTCTTCCCACACGGGTTCACCATGCCGACCAGTACGAGTTGGTGCCGGCGCGGGAGTCACCACTGGTTGAGATATCGCTCGCCACCAATGAGTCATAGTGAAATGCGCTAACCACTCCATCACTGCCTTGACCTTACCTCCCATTAATGAGCAGTCACAGCCTTTAGACTATGGAGTAATGTGGTCTGCAGTGCGATACCTCAACCTCCCCCCCCCTCCTGGCTTCACATTGCACTCGGCAAAAAAAACACAAAACAATTATATTATTGGTTCTTTTGGTAAAGTCACGTAGAAGGGAAACAATAAAATAACATTGTTTTATATTTTTATTATTTTATTGTTTCCCTTCTACGTGACTTTACTGAAAGACCCAAGAATATGAATCCCTGCAGTCACAAAAGCTTCATATCAAAGCAGAACAATTAATCACGGTACAGGTGTCAAATATATTCAAAATTGGTATGCGGAGAAACCAAATGATTGGAAAGTCGTAACATGCCTACCGTACAATACTAATACACCGAGGCTACGTGTCCTACACGGATCTCACCGGCAAACTCCGTGCGCTGGCAGTAGAAGAGGCCCGGATTGACAAGGTCTCCGACCACAACGTTGAAGGACTCTCCCACGCAAGGAAGTCTCTCGGCCACTCCCCTTTCTAGCTCCATGCCGGAGCTAACGCCGGCACCAACCCCACTCGCCTCCTCGTCCTCACCAACAGCCCCGGCGTCGGCAGTGGGGCCAGCATCCTGGCCTGGGCCGATTCCCTCGAGAGGGGCCGAGGGAGCTGTGGATGGCGCAACACAGCGTCGTACGTGACGGTGCTCGGTGATTACCGGCAGGGCTGGAGTCTCGCTACTCCGCTGGCTCAATCGGTGGCTGCTTTCTCTCTCTCTCTCTGTGTCAACGGATGAGCAAGTAGCCGCTCCTTTTGAGCATCAATCATTTTATGAGTATAGAGGTGTGCTCCTCCATTGGTTGAATCAGAAATACCCGTGTGTCGATGGCTACAAGAGGGAGCCCTTTGAGTGTCAATCATTTATGGGGAAAGTTCAATTATATCAAAAATGGTTCAATAAGTAGCTGCTTTTTCTGCGTTGATGGATACCAACAGCATGTTTTTAAATCATTAGTTTGAGACTATTTCTCCCAGTGGGCTGAAATATAAGTATCATAGATCATAAATGCTGTGTTTATGACACTATCTCAATTGTTGGCAGTGTATATGGACAGCACGATGATGCTTTGCTGCATTTTCATGGCCAAAAGCGGTAAAAACGAACCCCAGCAAATGTCACCCGCGCAAACTCTACGAGAATTAACGCCAGCATTTATAGAAAACCACAACAGTCACCGGTTTGCAGTGGCGGTGATGAGCCCAGGTAGACTTGCCAACAATGCAATTCTTAGTACACTTCTGATGTGGGTTCTTTATTTACACAAGTTGAGGCCACCAACTCCACTCACAGAACAGACACCGACAAGAAAACGAATCACAAGTATCCTCACCCGCGCTGCAGTTGGTGACGGATTCTGCAACGCAGATCCCTTCCTCCAGCAAAGACTCGCGTAGTGAGCGGCCTGTTGAGTCGAATTTGGACACGGAGCAAAAGAAATGTAAATTAAGTTAGCAGCACGGTTGGCATGGTGACTCGCAACCTGGGGTCCAACGCTTCGAATCATGCATACACGCCTGTCAAGCCCATACGGTCTACCTGCATTGTTGTACAGGGAAATTGAGTTTTCAGGTCCTTAACGGCGTACAGCCGTTTCAATACGGGCAAAAAAAGTGTCTATTTGTTTGCGTTTCTCCCTTGTGATGGGGACTTTGTAGGATGAACGTTGAATTTTATAAGGGCACGGGGTGACCAATAAGGTCTGACTTGGTTGTAATAAGGTAAGGCACTGATAAAGGCGTTGACAGGTATGTGCAGCATATTTGTCAAACTCCCAAACTCTATGGGTCGCGAGGTGGCCCGGACTTGGTCGTGCAACAAGCGGGTTTGTGAACCTGTCCGTGTGGACCTTTTGAGTGTTATCTCCTTGCATGGGTGTTTTTTTTTTTCCGGATACTCCAGTTTCCTCCCACTCAAAACAAACACTCCTCAAAGAACCTGCGTTCAAATCCAGACTTTGGCCACGTGCGATTAAACCGCAATTCATTGGTGGAAAAGGCCGAACATCCCAACGCAGGACCCTCCTAATATCGAGTCCTGCGGCTCAGTGAGGCATTTCAAATTACGACAAAAAATATTGTGCGCAGGCTGCATAGCCGCTTTTGCCTTTCTGAGGGTTGTGACCGAGTGAGCGAGCGAGCTGGCGGCCCCCCCAACCCCCCTACCACCCCCCTCTCTCTCACCGGTGATGGGCATGTCCAGGTCCACCATGTACGTCCTGGTGGGCTCGTCGTACTCCTCCACCCTAAGCACGCACGTCTGGTTCAGCAAAGACACCCGCAGCTGCAGCACGTCATCGCCCCACCCGCCGGAGCGGGGTCGCACCGCAGTCAGGCTGCACTGCAGCGTCTACAGGACACAAGACGCACATACGGGAGCGCATGCTTATACATCCAGCGGCGTTGACCTCGTTAAGGCAAGGCGCCTGGCACCTTGCCCTGTCCCACCGCAGCCTTGCCCTTTTCCGTGTTGCCTCGAGTTTGTATTGTGCTGCTGCGTCCACAGGAGCGCCGGGGGACTTAGGCCACACCCACTCTGCAAGACCACACACCCACCGAGCCGCTGACATGTGAAGGAGACCTCCAGATGCGCCATTCGGTATGTAGAGGACTCTCCGCAAGTTTTCAAAGTCCCTCCAGGCGGTGTGTGTAATCGGTGTTAACGTGTGTGCGTTGCAGTTTGTGTGTGCGAGTGGCGTGTGTGGATCACGTGCACGTGCAGCCCTTTTGTCACTCTGATGCGTGTCATTGAGGATACTTGACCATACTCCGTCATTCCTTTCGGTGCGGGTTGATAAAAAGACTGGCGACACCTACATTGGATCATAGACGTGAAGCACAGCAATGTCTTCTGCTGACATTGTCATCGAGTGAGTACCACGGTGGCGAGATGTTAATCACCTTGCCTGGTATACACGTCATGGGTTTTTGATCCTGGCCCTGATGCCTATATATTTGGAGTTTGCATAGTCTCCCCGTGCTCAAGTGAACATTTCTCCAAGTCCTCCAGTTTTTCCCTCTACATTTAGAATCAACATGCGTTTAAGAGTATTTGGCTTCTATAACTTTCCACATAAGCCACTTTTTTGAGCTTGCATTTGTGGCCAGGTCACTTCTGAAAAATAGCTATGTAGCTCAGTGGGCCTTACCAGGTGAAATAAAAAAAATGTTTAGTTTAGTGTAACGAATTCACGAATAGGCCCTGGCTCCCCGGTTAAACAAGGGCCGTCGGTCCGCGTGACTCACGTAGGGAGGGTGTTTGCGGAACGCCTCTGGCGGTGGGCGCACGTTCTCAAAGGCCACCTCCTCCCAGCTGCCATAGTCCAGAAAGTAGGCGAGGATGCACCCACGGGCCTCGTCAACCTCCGACACCACCACACGGTACCACACCTGGCAGCACGACACCTCCGATTAGCACGACTGGCTTATGTACGGTGCGAAAGAAGCTGAACACTCATACGTACACACAAACGGCACCCGGAATTCAACCACGGAAAAAAATTCCCTATACTGAATGCCTCTGAACATCACAGCACCTCTTGCCCAAACTCGTCCTTCAATACCCAATAACACCTTCATGTAGGTGTGCACATGAGCGGCAAAAAAATCGAGTGCATAAAAGGCCTGCTGCAGCGATTCAGAAGCCATCTCCCGCGGCCGTTCTGACTCTACGCACCGGCACTTTACTTACCGGCTGCGACAGCAAGTCACAAATTAATATTTCGTCATCGTCGTGACGGGTACAAACGGATTTCACGGCGGTGCTCGCCATCGGCCCTCACCTGGTCCTGCGAGAAGAGTGCGGCGCACACGTCCCCCTTCCAGGGCCGGTAGCCGGGCCGGGCAGGAGGGCCCCCGACCCCATCGGGGCCCTGGCACAGGGCGAGCAGCTCCCGCAAGCCGGTCTCCGTTCCCGAGGTCAATTGCTGCACGTAGAAGTGCCCGGGATTCTGCCACTCTGTCACCATGCACTGGACACACGTGTTGCGGTACGCGAGACTTGCAGCGAGAATACGGGCTTCACCGAGCGAGCAATGCGAACGGCGCGGTACGATAGCCGGGGGGCGAGTCCTGCCCGCAGTGGCCATGCAGCACACAAACCTTGCTGAATTGGCTGTGTCGGGTGGTGCCAGGTTTAACTAAATGTATATATTTACGCGACCTAACCCAAAAAACTCGGGGTGGCAGCGGTAAGAGGCGCGGCACTGCGAGTGGGAGACAACCAGCACCTGGATGGCTTCTCTGTGCGGGACGAACTGCAGGCCGAGGTCGTCCAACGATATCCCGGGGATGTTCCGCACCGCTGGAGTTGCGGCCGCCATCTGCACCTGCGGGAGGTGGCGGTCAAGCCAACAGAAAAGCGGGAGCAGCAAAAACTAAAAAATATTGTCGGAAATAACGGCAACGTAATGTAGTGTCGCGAGACTGTGAAAGATGGCGACTGTTTGGGGGGGGGGGGCCTTCATCTCGCAGTGGATAGAACAATCCTGCTGCTGATTATGATGATGCAGTGTTACTCACGGCTGTTTTGAGCTCCACTTCGGCACCGTATTCTTCCACCAATTTCCCCAACGTACCACTGAAAAGTAAATAATATATAAATCTCTTCATGGCCTTGGCCCACCGTACCTCGCTTCCCTCGTCTTGTTTAATGTCCACTCCCGCCCCGCTCTCAATCTCTCCCACTACTCCTAACCGTCCCCCACTCCTTGTGCACAATCACCGTTTACGCTCCTTTTCCCAACTTGCCCCCTTGCAGTGGAACAAACTTCCCCTCCACATTAAGCGAGCACCCTGCCCGTCTCGTTTCCGCTCCTCCCTCAAGACCACCACCTCTTCTCCCTGGCCCATCCTTCCCTCCATCCCTAGGTACCCCCGTAATTCCCGTACCCACTATCCTGCCTCACCATATCACGTTTAGCTACCTTCATTGTACCACTCGTAACATTTGTAAAAAGCGCCTTGGATAAAAGCGCTCTATAAATGTAAGATATGTACAAGTGGATCACAACTACACAAGGATGCACAAGTTCGTGGCTCATGCTTAGCTGTAAATCTATATATTTTTTTAATTCGTTGCAATTTCTAGATTTTATTTTAATTACGCTATCAAGCTCGTGTCTTAAAACAATGTATCCTTTCGTAACGCTCGCTGAGCAGTGCAGAGCTCCGGTGTGTTCGCAGATATCACAGAACAACATTTGAGATCCCTTCGAGTGACCAGTTTTATCTAAACGCTAAACAGTATCCTTTCCCATATAGAATTGAAGCTTTCATGAGTATAGTATCCTTTCCGACACACCATCCTGCACAGAAATGCCTGTGGCATGACAGTGAAATAAATGATTTATTCTAAGAACTGGAATTCAGCAAACTTAAGGAAATAAAATGTAACTTAATTTATTTAGCGAATGCTTTTCCACGTGACTTTCACGCAGTTAAGAGCACCAGATACACAATGGAATATAAATAAACATACATATGTCGATGTAATACGCTAGTGGACGTCAGCCCACGTAGCCAGAGAGCCACGTGATAGCCTCCTTCTCCAATGCATGCAGGGCAAGCAGTCCGCCCGGCACGCCCTGCCGCACTTCACAGCAGGAAACGGTGTACGCCATTGTAAAATAATGTGATGGGTTTTCTAAATTAATTCATGATTGGGATGTGACCATCAACTTGTTCCATTTCAAGAACCAGTTTAATCACAGGTGGCTGCCTGGAATGGAGCGTAGAACCTCGGGGGTGACAGCTCACACGCTTTCACCCGGCCTGCCCTTGGGAACCAGTCCTAACGTTTTTGGGGATCATGCTTGCAAAAGCCCAGCAATGGCTTGGCTCTGTTCTTCCAATGGTCGTGGAACCCAGCACACAGTTGCAGCATGCTGCCACGCTCCTAGGCGTATACTATCCAATCCCGAGATTATGAGAGTCCTGCTGTGCAGGCATGATTCACAGGTCGCTGACATTATAATAAACAAGCGTTATCTTCTTACCTGCTGGCAATTGATGCCTTCATGGTTTCGTCCTCAAAAATAAATGATTCCTCCTTTGCACAAAAATGTTATCATAAATAAATTATGCAATTGCACTGAACAGCTCAGTAATAAATGTCAAAGAATGTATGCAAAATAATGCACAAGTTGTTCTTTGTATGGCATTGACATCTTTAACTTCAGCTCAATAATAAATGTTAAAGAATGTATGCAAAATAATGCACAAGTTGTTCTTTGTATGGCATTGACATCTTTAACTTTCTATTTTATGCAATTCTCATTCACAGGTCCTCTATCAATCCACTGCTGTATGAAGCCACCCCCCCCCCCCCCCCCCCCCCCCCCCCCCCACAATGTTAGCCATGGGAGCTGTGTGACCATCCTGCCCCATGCGCTTGTCAGTCAACGGCAGGGAGGGGCCAAAGGACCAATCAAGATACCACACTGACCGCCGAAGGTATCCACGACAGTTTACCGAAATGAGCCCCACGGGTTTGTAACGCAATGCGCCGACCGCTATGCCACCACTCTTGCTTTCCTCAACTTGCATTCAAGATGCACGCACACAAAAAAACAAGTGTGCAAGTGTGTGTGTGTCTGTGAACCTTTGCATCACCAAGGCTCACCTGCCGCTTGTTGTAGGTGTCATTCTCCCGATAGAACGACACCTGCAGAGTGAATGATCCAATTTGGAAGTGGTTGAATCGGCGGATGGCGTCCATCGCCTCGCTGAGCTTCGAGAACACTACGAACCTAAAGGGACAGCGGCATCACTACAGGCAGGTCACTGCTGTTCCTCAATCAAGGTGGAGACAAATGTTTACTTTATAAAAAAAATAGAGATATTTTGTTTACCATTTTATAAACTCCACAGTTGCTTGGTATGCATAAACCAACATGCTCCAATCATCCTCGCAGAGGCTTTTGGTTAGCCATCGAACAAGGACGGTCACTGCATCGCGTGTTTCTGCGGCTGTCTGGAATGCTCTTCCTTCTGATATAGGAAGCCACTGGAGCTATGCACTTTTAAATCTAGAATTTAAAACTCATTTATTTAGAAATGTTTTTTGTATTTAGTTTGTTGACATTCCCCCCCCCCACCTCCGATGAGGACAGTTGACTACAAACGGTGAGAAAAAAATTCCCAACGTACATATATACATAGATACAACTAACCCGTAAGCTGTGCGAAAAGGTCCATGTTTCTTCCATATCTTTTTCACATAGAGCACATCTCCTGATTGGCTGAAAAGCTTCTTCATAGCCTCCTAAAACAAGGACATTTTATTTTAAAACACGACGGTATGGATGGCCATGCTTTAAAGCACCTGTTTGTCTTTACAAGCGTCTAAATATCAGCTTGGAAGCTGACGGGGTAGCTGTCAGGTTTAAATGAATTTGCAGATGTTCTAATAGGCATTTGTCACTCTGGTTTGTCTCTCCATATTTTGGAGAAGACTGATCTATCAATGAGAAGTCATTTCCAGCAACGCAGCTTCATAGTACTGTTAGATACGGGTCACCCCCCCCCACCTCCACCCATTTTCATTTTTTTATTTGGGAGGTCTCTTAAAGCAACAGCAAAACCATGTAATGTATTTGCCTGCAATTCGGTGTGGTGAAACTCTTATCTATTCACGTTGGTGTGGAGGATTTCTATTTGCAGATCCTAGTATCAGCATCAATTACTTTCCATGTTATTATCAGGCTTGTTTAGATGGAGTGCTCTTGCCTATAACAATAACATCTGGCAACCCAATGAGATCTATAATTTGAAAACCAGTCCAGAGTTTTTTTTTTTGCTTAAACCGATGCTGCTCGACACGTTTGGAAAACCAATAGATTGGCTAAATAAAAATGTATTTCCATTTGATGTTGAAATACTGGGAAAAATTATGCTTCTTTAGGCTTTTACTCATTGTTGGGAAACAACCTCACTCCCAACTGCCTTGAAGACCACGCAAGACCGAACAACGTACCTCAGTCATTTCCTGCGGAATGCAGTTGACAAAAACTTGCATCGATTTTACTATTCTTGAGTTGGCCGTTCGATCAGGAATTCCATTTTCCGCCATGCTGGTTTTGTCAAGTGTTGGGATGTATAAGATTGGAGAAGAGCCCAAAGCATCATCAACACAAAACACAAAAGGTGATTTAATTAGCACGGTCTTATTTATTAAAGAAAATGTTCTAAATCATTTGTTTTCCTCTTCTACTGACATAGACTCATAAACACAGAAAAAGAATGAGCTACAGCATACTGTCAAAACATGCAGTTGGTTCCCCATAAATTGTTAATAAGCAAACCCCTCAATATTTTACATTACAGAAGGTTCCTCGTCAAACTGAGAGGTTGCCTGGAGATATACAATGTATTTGTGCAGCACAGCAAGTGGGTTTGTGAGCAAATCTGTGCAGTCCTGCAAGTGTTAACCCTCGTAAGCTTGGCTTTTTTCCAGGTGCCCTAGTTTCCTGCCACATACAAACATCCCTTTACGCTGGACTGGCCAAATATTCCAATATCAGGATGCTCTTGAATAAATAGCCTTAGGATTCAGTGAAGCTTTTCTGGATAAACAGAATTCGATACATTTTTACTAACTGATATGATGCAACCACATTGTCGCAGATATCAGCTGTTGGTCTAACCTCTTAACCCCTGACCTCAGAACCTGCACTGTGAGGCCTTTGTTATGGACTCAGCGCAACTATACCCTGCTAACCTGTTCTAGGAAGCCACATTTTAACATAAGGGAACCACAGTGCCCAGGTACCAGCTGTTTGCCGGCTGTGCCCACATCGGTAGTCGGGCTCCCGGTCCTCGGTTGTAGCAGTTGAAGCTAACATTTTTGAAATCTTCTCTCATGGGGTTCCACACATCCAAGTCCTTTTCCCCGACTCCTTCCTCGAATCTGCAAGTACAGCTTGGGCGAGGCCGAGCCCTTACGAGACCAATTCTCAATCGTGCATCCACTCCCTCCCTGTCATCATCATCACCCTCTTATCGTCACCCTCTCATCATCATCACCCTCTCGTCATCATCACCCTCTCAACATCATCACCCTCTCATCATCACTCACTCACTCCCGATATTGTGGTCCAGTCTATGGCTGCTTCTATGTCTCCTCCTTTTCGGTCCCAGTTTCCCGTTCCTTTTCCTCTGATTCAAGAGCCGAATGGCTCACAGGGCTATACCAAATAAATGAAACTGAAAACTTTATCTTCCCTCTCACCCTGCTTCTTCTTTCTTTCCATACATCCGCTAGACTCTACCCCCCCCCCCCCCCCCTTCTGACACCGTGGAGTGCGCTGCTCACCCGTTGGAGTTCCCCCGGTCTGCCATTTATTTGCGAGGAAGTCTGAAAGTACAAAAACACCACTTTCTCAACATCGACAGCATGAATAATAAGAGATGCCCACTCTTTGACCGCACGTAACCACCCTGGTCAATGCGGGTTGGTGAAGACGGGGGTGGAGGTGGGTGGGGGGGGGGCACTTGAAACCTTGGGACCAACGTTGGGCCAAACATTGTCCCCAACGTTGGGCCAAACTTTGTCCCCAACGTTGGGCCAAACATTTTCCCCAACGTTGGGCCAAACATTGTCCCCAACGTTGGGCCAAACATTGTCCCCAACGTTGGGCCAAACATTGTCCCCAACGTTCCATGCTGGGCTGGGGAATCATTGAACGTTAGAGGTCAGTATAGTACAGTAACAAAAATGTATATTTCTCTAGTGCAATGCGCTGCATCTCTCCGTAGCCTCCGTGGAAAGCCCCACTTTTTTAGTTTAACACCTTTATTGTGCGTGATGGCGGCGGTGGCGGTGGTGGCCCATCCGAGCACTTTCCTGACTCATCTCCGCTTAGCTGGAGATGCGTGGCGCATATCCCGACGATAAGAAGCGGACGCAGCATCTCTTTGCCTGCCGCCTAAGGCCA